GGGGGGGGGGGGAGACGACGACGACGACGACGCGCTTTTTAAGCCCTCTCGGCACCCTTACCTTGCGGGGCGGCTGTGCGGAGGTTTGCGCGACGTAGGCTTCTGGCCGGAACCTGGAAAAGGAAGAGGAAGTGTTGCGCTGTACAGGGGGGACTTTTACGGTAGCGCTGGGGGCTAATTGTCTCTCAAAAGCCCGAGGTGCTTGGGTGGATATAACTCCTTGCTCTGCGAGAAGAGGCTACAGCGCGCGCGGAGGTGGCTTCTGGTGTGAGTGGGCACGTGTTCTCCATGCTGGCTTAGGAGCGCCGAAACCATTCTAAATGAACTTGAGGTTTCTGCCTGGCTCGCTTTGAAAGGTGTTTTCAGAGAGTTGGAAGGCCTAGCTTGCCGTCTGGTCCAGTCTCTGCCACCGACCTGCTGTGTGTCCTTCGGTCCCTCTTCGAGTCTCAATATCCTTATCTGTAAGTTGAAGGGTGAGCAAGTCTCTTACGTCACCTTTAAGTTCTTCTGAATGTTATTGCATGTTCATTATGCCATCTGAGCCACAAAGCCTTGGGGTTTTTAAAAATATCGTCTGCCCCATTTTGTAAGGAAGACATTGAATCCCAGAGTCAGAGGTTTGATGACTTCCTCAAGATTACACAGAAAACTTAAGACTAGAAGATAATGCCGTAATTCCATAATCAGGTCTCCTTTGTTATATTTCTGTACTATCAGTTCCTGAAACGCCTATGGCAGTTACTCAATAAGCTCTGAATGGAATGGATCTTTTGATGTCAAGGCCAATGATATAAGCAGATCTGGTGTCTCCACCTCTCTGATATATTAACAAGCGCAAACTCTTGTCCAGGTGTATCCTGTGCTTTACTTGATTGGGGACTCCGAATCCTGTCTTCGTTCTTCAGTTTAATCAGACACCATGGAGGCACCTCCCGTCACCATGATGCCTGTCACAGGGGGCACCATTAACATGATGGAGTACCTGCTGCAGGGTAAGTGAACCAGGGAGCTTGGATTACCTGTTTTCCCCTTTTCTAGTCAGCTTCTGTGGAGATGAGACGCTGTTATACAAAGGCAACCTGCATAATTTCTACATTCCAATAGACAACTTAAAAAAAATTACTCTTAATTATGGTCACAAACGCATAAAATTAAATTTACTATCTTAAACATTTTTCCCCATCTTAAACATTTTTAAGTAGTGTTAAGTATATTCACATGGTTGTACAGCTGATCTCTGGAACATTTTCATCTTGCAAAACTGAAATTCTATACCCGTTAAACACTAATTCCCCTTCCTCCTTCCCCCAGTCCTTGGCAATCCCTTTCTACTTTCTGTTTCTGATTTTGACACTTTAGATAGATACCTCATGAGTGGAATCATACAGTTTTTATCTCTTTTCAACTGGCTTATTTTACTTAGTATAATGTACTTGAGGTTCATCCATATTGTAACATGTGACAGAATCTCCTTATTTAAGGCTGAATAATGTTTCATTATATGTACATACCACATTTCTGTATCCATTCATCTGCTGATGTACATTTGGGTTGCCTCCACTTCTTGGTTATTGTGAATAATGCTGCAGTCAACATGGGTGTGCAAATATCTCTTCAAGATCCTGCTTTGAATTCTTTTGGATATATACCTAGAAGTAGGCTCACTGGATCATATGCTAATTCTGATACTGTTATTAGCTCCATCTTATAGATCAGGAGACAGAGGTAAAGTAATTTGCCCAGATGAGAAAACTCAAGACCCAGAGACAGTAATGATTTTCAGGAGGTCATATAATGTTTAGTGGAAGAGTTTAGGTTTTAATTCAGATCATTCATTTAGTAACTTCAGATGAACAAAACAGTTATTCATTTTTAGTCCTCAAGCTGCCCTTCTTTCAGTCTTTTCTCATCTCAGTAAGTATCATTGTCATTTACCAGTTGCTCAAGTGAAGCATTCAGTAGTCAATCTCAGTTTTTTACTTTACCCCACATATAGCCCATCTCTTAAGTCCTATTCATTTTACTTCCAAAATATATTTTAAATACGTCTTTTCTTCACCTGCTGTACCACACCTTGGTTTATCATCCCTTGACTGAACTACTTTCGCAACTTATTGCATCGATTCCAGTTCTGATCACGTCTCTTCTCACACAACAGCTAGTCATCTTTTTAATCCTCACCAAAGGATTTTTAAAAAATTGATTTTAGAGAGAGAGAGATGTGTGAAACATCAATCACTTGTCTCCCATAAGTGCACTGACCAGGGATTGAACCTGCAACAGTTTTTGGTGTACGGGATGATGCTCAACTGAGTCACCCAGCTGGGCAGCTAGTCATCTTTGTAAAAATTGTTTTATTATTTCTTTTCAAACTGTAAGAGAAAGTTCATTTAGAAAGTCACAGAGGTGTAAGAAGTGAGCTGTAGAAGGAATAGGCTCAGGAAGCAAGTTACAGAGGCAAAAGAAGGGGCCCTTGGAGCTTAGGAGAGAGAAAGGTAAAGGTAATGTGCCTGGGGGGAGAGGGGAGGGGAACAGGAAGGGAACCTGAGTGCTCCCCAGAGGGAGAGTGCCAAAATTGTTTTATTATTAAAAAATTTAAACATAAAGAAAATAGAGACTAATATAGTGGCCACTCCATTTCCATCATCTAGATTTCAATTTCTGTCATTTTGCCGTATTTGCTTTTTTTTTTCTTTTGCTATTTTTAAAGAAAATTTCATACCTCATAACATTTTACCCCTGAACACTTTAGTATACATTTCTAAAAAATAAGGATGTTTTCCTTTATAACCCCAATATCATCATTATCTAAAAAAAATTAAAAAAAAAAGAAAAAGATATTTTTAGTATCATCTAATATTTAGTCCATATTCAAAAGTTTCCAGCCAGTTGTCCCAAAAATGTGTTTTATAACCAGGATATAATCAAGTTTCATGATTATATTTGATAATTGTCTAAGTCTTTTTTTTAAATTTTCAACTATTACTTTATTTATATTACTATGCTTAAGTTACATGGAAAGGACAACCAAGCAGTTCTGCCCCATTTCAGGAAAAGTTTCCAATCAACACCAATTACATGGTGACAAATAAGTAGGAATGGTGACATCTTTGGGTTTAAGTCTCTTTTAATTTGGACCAGTCTACCCTTGCCCCCACTTTTTTCCCCATGACCATGTTTTGTTGAAGAGTCCATACCAGTTTTCCTGGAATGGTCATTTTAAAATGTAAATCTAGTGATGTCTTTCTCTGTTGTATAGAGAATAAAGTGTGGAACTAATAGCTGCCCTTAGAAATGGGGCAGAACTGCTTGGTTGTCCTTTCCATGTAACTTAAGCATAGCAAAATGGAAGCTGCCCTTAGAATATAAGAAAGCCATTACCATGGGTTACATATAAGGCCTGTATTCTGTGGCCCATGCCAAATTGTCATTTCATTGTCATCTTCCATTTTGCTCACTACATTTCAGCCACACTGACAGCCTTTTAATTTACCAGGCCCTTTCCTACCTCTGTGCCTTTGTACTTGATGATCCCTCTGCCTCTACTTTTTTCAGCTTTTCAAATAACTATCTCATTTTTATCCTTCCAGACTCATCTCAGTTGTCATTCTCTTAGAGAGACCTTCTTTGACTACTCCAACCCCTCAGAGAGGTCTCTTCTTATCTACCCCCACCAATTGCTCTCTAGCCCATCTCCCTTTTATTTCCTTGAGTTTCTGTTTATTTGTTTACTTATTTATTTTTTGTTTCCCCACTACACTGTAGTCTCTGTGAGGGCAGGGCCCCCTACTTTCTAGCATAGTGCCTGGCACAGCATTCAATAAGTGTATGTTGCCCAGCCAGCATGGCTCAGCGGTTGAGCATCAACCTATGATCTGGGAGATCGCAGTTCGATTCCCAGTCAGGGCACATGCCCGGGTTGCGGGCTCTATCCTCAATGAGGGGGTGCAGGAGGCAGACTCTCTCATCACTGATGTTTCTATCTCTCTCTCTCTCTCCCTTCCTCTGAAATCAGTAAAACATATTAAAAAAATAATACATAAATATATGTTGAATGAACTAAAAGCTCCTGAAATGTTTGAGGAATGAACATACACATTTCTGACACTGTCCTGAATGTAAGATACAATGTATTGAATGCAGGGCCGTTTCCCTGCTCCCACGATCTTCTGTCATATGATTAGTGGGACCTGATCTGTTGCTTGTTCTTCAATACTACTTATTTCCAAAAATTTGGTCAAGTGAATCCCACTATCAATATTTCCCATAGTTAGATTAATATACTCTTGTTTTCTTTAACAGACGTATTCAATAATTATTTGAATATGTTCCTAGCATTGGGGTATCAGCAGTGGAGGAAGAAAGATGACTAAAAATATACTGAAGGATAATTTAAAAATAGAGGTGATAATGCTAAAGAAAAATAAAGCAGGGAAGTAGAAAGAGATCGGAGGGAGATATGCTGTTTTCTTTAGGGTGATCAGACAGTTCTCTCTGATAAAGTGACACTTGAGCAAAGACCTAAAGAAAGTGATTGGGCGAGACATGCAGCTATCTGAGAGGAGAACATTCTAAGCATAGGGACTAAGGGAAGAGCATCTGAAGAGAAATACTTTGTCAAATACTTGGTGTTTTCAGGAAATAGCAGGAAGATCACTGTGGCTGTAGAGAGTGATCTAGTGGGGATAGTGGAAGAAAATGATGTTGGACAGGTAGCAAAGACCACAATATATAGGGCCCTTAGACAACGGTAAAGACTTTGGGATTTATTCTGAATGACATGGAAGCCATTGGAGGGTTCTGGGCAGAGGAATGTCATTGTCCATCTGTTTTTTATTCTAAAAAGACCACTTGACTGTTGTGTGGAGAGGAGAGGAAGTAGGCAAGGGTAGAAGCAGGGAATCGCAAAGACCAGGCAAGAAATGGAGACTTGGACTAGGTAGAAGAGATTGAGGGAGTGGCAAGTGGTTGGATTCTGCATGTATTTTAAACATTTGGGTTGTAGATAGGATATGGGAGAAAGAAAAGAAAGAGGATTCTGTGGTTTTTGGCTTGGACAATTGGAAGCAGAGAGTTGCCATTTGCTCTGATGGGGAAGACTGCAGGGGAATAAGATTGTGGAGGAGAAGCCAGCAATTTGATATTGAACAAATTAAGATGAAAATGTCTGTTAGGCATCCAAGTGGAGAAGTTGAGTACATAGTTGGATATATGAGTCTATAGTTCATGAGATATAAATGGTATTTAAAGCCATAGAACCAAATTGGGTCACCTAGTGAGGAAGAGATTGTTAACAGAGAAGAGGACTAGGACTGAGTCCTAGGATCTTCCAATATTGAGGGAAGGTGTTGAGGAAGATCCAGCAAAGAAGACTTAAAAGAAATGCTCAGTGAATTAGGTGAAGGACCAAGAGAGAGCTGTGTACCAGAGGCCAAAGAAAGAATAGATTTAAAAGTGGGTGCGATGTATAGCAGCTATGTCAAGTGCTGCCAGGAGGATGAGTAAGATGAGAACAAAGATTGGTGTATTCCTGTGGGCAGTTCATTCCTTTCTACTTAAATATATTTCATAAAAGGGAAACGTTATATTTCTTCTATAGATGGAAAACTTTTATTTGCCGGAAATAGAAGATAATTCTTAAAATGCCAACGAAACAGTAGTATTACATTCTAGATACTGTTGCCTGTTCAAGGTTCTGAGTCCCAAGCCTGCCGGAGATTAGCATTGTTAGAGCAGGCCTAAAGACTTTCTAGTACCAGATGAGACAAGGCAAAAAATTGACAAGGGATTAACATAATATATAATGTTACATAACCCCTCTAAAAATCTCATATATTAGGCCTATTCTTTGCAAAACTGCATTAAACTGTTCGGTTCATTTAAGTTTGTTAAGTCTTTTACTAATTCCATTACTGAAAATGCAAGATGGGACTCAGTATGCTTTTTCCTTCTTCAGGAAGTGTTTTAGATCACAGCTTGGAAAGCCTTATCCATCGCCTTCGTGGTTTGTGTGACAACATGGAACCTGAGACTTTCCTTGACCATGAGATGGTATTCCTCCTTAAAGGCCAGCAGGCCAGTCCATTTGTTCTAAGGGCTCGGCGCTCTATGGATAGGGCAGGGGCACCTTGGCATCTGCGCTACCTGGGACAGCCTGAAGTGGGAGACAAGAACCGCCATGCTTTGGTGCGAAACTGCGTGGACATTGCAACATCTGAGAATCTCACTGAGTTCTTGATGGAAATGGGCTTCCGCATGGACCATGAGTTTGTAGCCAAGGGACATGTGTTCCGTAAGGGCATCATGAAGATTATGGTGTACAAAATCTTCCGTATCCTGGTGCCAGGGAGCACAGACAACACTGAGGCATTGTCACTCTCCTATCTTGTGGAACTAAGTGTTGTTGCACCAGCTGGGCAGGACATGGTCTCTGATGACATGAGGAACTTTGCAGAGCAGCTGAAACCTCTAGTTCACCTAGAGAAAATAGACCCCAAACGTCTCATGTGACTAAGACAATCTGTCCACCATTGGGGCCTGTCTTCGCCTGTTACAAAGAAGACAGTATAAATGCCCCATTTCACCACTGCCAGCCAGGCATCCTTCCCTCAGGAAGGAGGACAGTAAAAACTTAATTGGTGCTTTTGTTTTCCTCATGTGGCAAGTTCACTTTTGTGACCACTTTCTAAATTAAAGGCTCAGGAAAACATGGAGAATCTATTTAATCCTTCTGCACAAATGAGAATAAATTAGCTTCTGGAAAGAAATCTCTTAATTGTTTTGCCATTTGTGTATAAGGTTTATAAAATAAGACTGAGCTCGTGTTGTGTGGTAATAAAGGCTATAAAGCGAAGTCTATTTCTGACTGTACCCCTTTACTCTGCTAGTTTGGGATGGATTCATTACCAATTAGAGCAAAAAACTGAGTTTTTAGCTTTAATTTTGGTAAAGATGATAGTTTTCACCTCTCATAAAAGCATATGTTTGTTGTTGAAAAATTTTTAAATACAAAAATAAGAAAAAAAACCCTGTAATCCTATTATTCAAAGAGATGTACTATTTCTGTTTTGGTATACAATATCTTTCTAGTCTTTATTTTTGTAAATGTATGTACATGAGATACACTTATTTTATAAAAACATTCTGTATCTACTGGTTTATAACCTTTTTTTGTTTATTACTAACATCTTTCTAGGACATTAGGCTATAGTGTCCTGTATTGAGTTTTTATGTGTGTCAGTGCTATCCTAAGTGCTTTATGTTTGTTAATTAATCTTCACAACAGACCCATTTTATAAACAGGGAAACTGAAGTGCAGAGAGATTAACTAGCTTTCCCTGAGCTATACAGATATTGATTAGCAGAGCCGGTATTTAAATATTGAGAATTCTAATTGCTATTTGTATCCCATCATATGGATTTTTCCATAACTTAATTGATTCCCCTACTTTGGGATTTTCAGTTTTATCCCAATGTTTTGCTTTTCTAAACAATCCTTCAGTGCTAGTGATTTTATTTAAATCTTGGTTGACATCTACGATTATTCTTTAGAATAAATTCTAGGGAACTGCTGAGAGTCAAAGAGTATGCACTATTTTAAGACTTCTGTCATGCATTGCCAAATGCTTTCCAGAAATGTCCTGGATTTCACTCCTACGAGCTATAAATGAGGTTTCTAACACTCCTGCCAAAACTGGGTGTGACCGTGAAATCTTAATTTTCAAAGTATTCATCAATGAGGTTTAAATTTTCATTTTTATTGGACATATTTTCTTATGTAAATTCCCTTTTCTCCATTGCTCATCTTTATTAATTTGTAAAGAGCTTTTATATAATTCTCCCCATTTATCATTTGACTTTTAATGGATTTTTTAAAGTAACAGTTCTTAGTTGATTAGTTAATACTTATAGAGTTGTATTTTTAAAAAATATGTTGTTATTGATTTTAGAAAGGAAGGGAGAGGAAGAGGAGAGAAACATCGATAAGTTGTCTCCTGTATGCGTCCTGATGGGATCAAACCCATAACCTGACTATGTGCCCTGGCCAGGAATAGAACCAGCGACCTTTCGGTGCATGGGACAGTGCTCAACCAACTGAGCTACACTTAGAGTTTTGAGAATTTGGCTTGCTAAAAACAATAGGTTATTCAAAATTTTCATTTTCTTTCAGAACCTCCATTTAGACGACACTCCAGCTAGCTACATTTGGATAAATCATAATTCTGTTTGTACCTCAATTTGCCACTCAAAAACTTACATAAATAATCTGTTAAGATGCTTTGGGTTGCCCGGCTGGTGTGGCTCAGCAGTTGAGCATCAACCTATGACCCAGGAGATTGCAGTTCGATTCCTGGTCAGGACACATGCTGGGGTTGCAGGCTTGACCCCCAGTGGGGGAAGTGCAGGAGGCAGCCAATCAATGACTCTCTCATCATTGATGTTTCTATCTCCCTCTCCCTTCCTCTCTCTGAAATCAATAAAGACATTTAAAAAAAAAAAAATGCTTTGGGCTACAAATAACAGAAAACTTACCTCTGCTTTAAACAGTAAGGATAATATTATCCCACCTAATGATAAGTTCTGAGTTGGGCTGGCTGCCTGGTTTGTTACTTGGTCATTTCTCTGGCTCTGGAATCCTTTTCTTGGCTTTCTATATTCATGGAAACATCGATAAGTTGCTTGTTTTCCCCCTCAGTTACAGATTGCGTAAGTGGATAAATCTTGTTCCTCCTTTCACAGTATATTAACACAGTGATTCAGGAAAAGCCCCTTTCTTGTTTTGTAGTCTTTCCCCTTTATTCCTAAACTCTATTCTCATTCCTTGTATACTTTAGGCACCTTTTTTTTTTAAATCCTCACCCAAGGATATTTTTTCCATTGCTTTTCAGAGAGTGGGCTCCACATTCGCCTAACAGGATCGAGCCCGCAACGGAGGTGCATGCCGTTCGTTGGCCAGCATCGAACCCGGACCCTTCAGTCCATAAGGCTGATGCTCTAACTACTGAGTCAAACCGGCTAGGGCTATAGGCACCCATTTTGTTATGTGCCCACAACCCAGGCATGTGCTCTGACAGGGAATCGAACCACGATCTCCTGGATCATAGATCCATTCTCAACCACTGAGCCACACCAGCTGGACTGTTTGTTTTTAAATATATATATATATATTTAACCCTCACCCAAGGATATGTTTAGAGAGAGGAAAGGAGACAGAAACACAGATGTGAGAGAGAGACATTGATCAGCTGCCTCCCATAGGCGCCCCAACTGGGGATCAAACCTGCACCGGAAATTGAACCTGCAACATTTTGGCGTAAAGCACAACGCTCCAACCAACTGATCTACCAGCCACGGCTGTTAGTTTTTCATTGAATATAATTGACATACAATATTATATTGGTTTCAGGTATACACATCATTTTTCAACATTTCTATACATCGCACAATGATCATCACCATAGGTTTAGTTACCTGTTGTCATTCTACAAAGTTAATATTGTTGACAACATTCCCCATGCAGTACATTATATCCCTGTGACTTACTTATTTTAAGCTGGAAGTTTGAACCTCTGATCCCCTTCATCCATTTCAACCACACCCAAAGCTCTTGGTTGTTTGATTTGCATTTCTCTGATTATAATTAAATTTAAGCACTTTTTCGTATACTTTTTTTGTATATGAAATTGTATAGACTACTTAGTATGTGAAACGAAGGTATCTATGACCTTTGCCTATTTTTCTACTTACTTTCCTGTCTTGTTGATTTGTAGGAATCCTTTGTATATTCTCAACATTAATCCTTTGTTGGTTTTAAACACTACAAATACTTTCTTTCTCCCAGTATCTATTTATATCCTTTGCCTATTTTTTTTCTATTTGATTTCCTGTCTTGTTGGTTTGTAGGACTTGTGTGTTTTCTAGACATTGTTTCTTGTTTGTTTTAAACATTGCAGATGCCTTCTCCCATTCCGTCACCTTCCTATTAACTTTGTCATTAATTAAGCAGATGTCCTAAATTTTGGCCTTATAGTTTACAGTCTTGTTTAGGAAGTCTATATTTACCTCTAGATAACATAGATTTTCCTATAGTAGCTTTATTTAACTTCCACATTTAGGTCTTTAATCCATCTGGAGTCCACTTTTAACATAGTTTCAAGTAAAAATCCAGCTTTTTTCTCCATATGGTGAATTTTTTTTCTATCACCATCTGAAAAACAGTCTTTTCAATGCTTTGTGATGCCATCTTTATCACATTAGGTTCCCATGTATGTACTTTATTTCTAAGGTCTCCAATCTATTCCATTGGTCTTTGTTTCAGTGCCAGCAACACAAATGTTTTTAATACTGTGGCTTTGTGGTAGAGCCAGTTCTACCAGTAGGGCAGGTATCCCTACTTTTATTTCCCCCTCAAAATAGATTTAGCTTTCATAGACCTTTTATTCTTTCGTATTCATTTTAGAATAAGTTTCCGTTTCTTAACATTACTATTGGAATTTTTATTGGAATTTCATTAAAAAGGTATAGATTAATTTGGGTGAGAACAGACATCTTTGATTGGAACACTGCCTCCCCAGAATTCAACGTGGTAGGCTTCCTTCACCTCTTTCCAGTCTCTGCTAACATGTCAGAGAAGCCTTTCCTGACTATCTTAAATTAAGTAGCGCACACACTCCCCATCATTCTCTCTTTATCTTTTTTTAAATCTTATTTAATCTTTTTTGTAGCTTTTGTTACTAAATGACTTTAGATTATTTATTCACTGCTTCTCTACCATAATGTAAGATTCATGATGATAGGTACTTTGTTTTGTTCTCTGCTGTATCCCTAGTACCCAAAACAATGGCCAATTTGTATAGTCATAAAAGCTACTCTTGAACATTTGTTCATTTGTTAAGCAAATGAACAAATTCATTACACTACTGAGGTTATCCTAATTATGACATTTATTCTGGTCTTTTTATGTCCCTTAATGGAGTTTAAAAAAATTTTTTAATTTATTGTTGAAAGTATTACAGATGTCCCCCTTTTTTCCCCCATTGATTCCTTCCACCCCACTCCCACCCTAAATTTTTTCTTGATAAACTTCTTGGGTATTGCTTTTAGGCCAATTACTATAGGTCAGGAGTTGACAAATTATACCTGTGAACCTGAGCCTGCTGTTTTTGTAAATGAAGTTTTACTGGAACATCCATATGCATTCATTTAAATATTGTATATGGCTTCTTTTGTACTACAATGACAATGTTGAGTGGCTGCAACAGAGACCATGTGGAAACTTTACTGTCTGGCCCTTTACAGAAAAAGTTTGCTGATCCTTACTATAGACTATCATTTAGTTGGTATTGTAGATTGTGGTATAGTTTCATTTCATTTAAAGTAATTATTCCTGGTGTAGAAGAACACTATTGATGTTTGTAAGATGATTTCTATTCTTGCAAACTTGATTAATGACTTATAATTCTGGTAGTTTGCCTGCTGCTGCTGTTGTGTTTTCCATATAGACTATCATATCATTGGCAAGAGTGGGAAGCAGAGAGAGTACATATCTCTTTCACCTTCTTGTCTTAAAGAACTGGGCAGACTCTCAAGTACTCTAGGTAACACTGGTGATGATAATGAGCATCCATGATCTAGTCCCAATCTTAATGCTATTGCATCATTTGTCTCTTAAGTATGAAAAAAATCATGTGATTTTTATCCTTTGGTCCATTAATATGATAAATTATGTCGACAGATTTTCTGTTGTTAGGCCATTGTTGTACTCCTGGGATAATTCCTAGGCATCATGATATTATCTTTTAAATACACTGTTGGATTTGAGTACCTATTATTTTGTTTAGGATATTTGCATTGTGGACTACCTTAATTGCCATCCAGAGATCTAGGCAGTGTGACTACTCCCTATTTTTCCAATCTCTCTGCTGGAACTACAATGTAAGCATTGTGCAAAATGCTGGGTTGCAGCAATAGCTAAGATACAGTCCTTGTCCTTAATAGTGCTCATTATAATGGCAGAAACAGACATTTATACAATTTGTATAGTCATAAAAGCTATGTGAACAAAAGGCTCCTTCCCAAAACAAATAAATCTTTAGCACTGACCAAGCAGGTCTGCTTCCTTTTCCTTGGATAGACCTCAATATTCTTGCTTA